GCCCAGGCGGGTCTTAAACCCGCGGGCTCAGGCAATCCACTCACCTCAGCCTCCCAAAGCGCAGGATTACAGGCTAAGCCACCGAGCCTGGCTCAATCCTTCATTTCTAGAATAAAGTTTATTTGGTTGAGTTATATTATTGTTGGACTAAATTGCTGGATTCAATTTGCCAATATTTGACTTATAACTTTTGTTATTATTTTTGTTTGCATGTATATCGTGCTTCATTCTTTTACTTTCAAACTTGTTTAGTCTTTAGATTTAAGGTGTGTATTGTTAAAGTAGTACATGTTTAGTATTTCATGCATTTTGTAATCTTTGTCTTTTTTTTTTTTTATTTTTTTTATTTTTTGAGTTGGAGTCTCACTCGGTCACCCAGACTGGAGTGCAGTGGCCACTCCCGGCCACCGCAGCCTCACCTGTTGGGCTCCAGTGATCCTTTCGCCTCAGCTGTCCAAGGAGCTGGAACTACAGGCGTGCGCTACCACACCCAGCTGATTTTTTGATTTATTGTAGAGATGAGGTCTCACTGCCCGGGCGGGTCTCGAACCTGCGGGCTCAGGCAATCCACTCACCTCAGCCTCCCAAAGGCGCGGGATTACAGGCTGAGCCACCAAGCCCGGCTAATCTTTGTCTTTTAATTAGAATATTTAGTTTCTTTACAATTGATGCAATTGCAGATGCATTTGGGTTTCAAATGTATCTTTTTAAAAATTTGTTTCCTCTGTACTTTGTACCCTTGTATCTCATTACTTGTCCTTTTTAAATTAAAATACTAACTTTTCAGTTATACATTTTGTTATTATTCTGTGACAATGTAGAACTCAGTGCCCCACTTACTTCTTTCTGAATATTTTGCCGTATATTTTGATTCTGTATTTTTTATTCAGTTTGGTTCTCACACAATCCGTTTAAGATAAGAAATTCTTAGAATTCCACTATTTCCTTTGTTGGATGGTCAATGAAACAAAGCCTGTTTTATTTAATTTAAACTTGACTTTACTATTTTTAACAAAAAATTGAAAACAATTTGCGAAATGTTAAAGTGTGCTTTTTGCTTATTCTCTGTATTTGGTACAATTATTTCCAAATGTTATAATTCAAAATTTTAAAGTTGTTATTTATCACATAGTCCATGAACCATTTATGTCCTTTTTTAAACAGACTTTTATTGGGGACATCCTCTTGCTGGTTAACCCTTACAAGGAGCTTCCAATTTATTCTTCCATGGTGAGTGTAAAATGTTAACTCTCACTTAGTAATGTAGAGCAACATTCTCTAGGCATACACAATTGTATCAAATAACTGATTAATAAAAAATGACATCAGGCAAATTCCCCCCAATAATTTAAAATTCTCTCTTGAATGATTGCATGATAATGACTTTATTGAATGATTGCATGATAATGACTTTAATTTGTTTTGAGATAACTAGAAAATCAGTTATTTTATCAAAATTTTACTTTGAACTTAAAATGTATAGTTTATCTATGATTGCACTCATGAAATAGAATTTCAAAATTAAGTAAGATATAAATTCTATATTTTAGTACATTCTCGACCAATTCAAGATCAGCAGACTTCAAACCCATATTTGCAAACATGACTTCTATCTGAAGAGGTTCTACAATATTAAAGCAATGGGAATAAGAACAGTTATATTGCATATGTACATTTTTCTAAATGACTTGGCAGTTCTAATTATGAGATCCTCAAATTAAAAAATAAATTGCTTGCAGAAAATTATTCCAGCCAACAGAAACACAATATGAATTTTGAGTAGTAATGGATCAAAAGTACTAAATCACAGAAGCTTTTTGTTTTTTTGTGTAACCTCAAGGCTGGTTCCATTGTGAAGTACAATCACTCACCAGAAGCAAGAGCTTGCCAGACAGGAAACAGGAAATAGACTTTTGTTTCAGAAGCAGGGATGCACTCGTAGATGTTGAGGTTGGGGGAGATGTTGAGAGATAGCGATAAGGAGAGAGAGACATACAGAGACAGAGCGAGAGATAATAGAGATAGAGATAGAGAGATAGACAGAGACAGATGGAGGAGACAGAAAGAAAGAGGGAGCGAAAGACACACAGAGAGAGGTGACTCTAAGTTCCTGAGAAATCAATCAAATAAGAATTTTCACAGAAACAACTCATGACAACAAGAGAATGCCTTCTTACTACCCCACCCTTTACCCTTCTTAATCAAAAAATCAGTTGTCAGTTTCACTGTTACGTTAAAACTGTGTTGAAACTTGCTCATTCTCTTCATTCCACTCAATCCTACCCCAACATCACCCTGAACAATCTAAAAGTACATGGAACATGAGAGATTAGGGGAAGAGGAAATGCCTGTGATCATTTCAGGAGTAATGTTGTAGGATTAAAGTCATTCTGATTTGTGGTTATTAAATCGTTTTGAGAAAAAGCTCAATGCTTCACCTGTCACTTTGTTGATGAGGCATAATTACTATTTATGTAAAATGTGTATAAAATATAATATAAATAATGCATGGCATACAAACACTAAATGTTCTGTTCAACTAATTTATGCAAAATAATGACACTCTTCAAACTATCATGCAGATCAAGAAATAGAACATCAGTAGATGTTCTATTGCAGATGTCTCCCTGCAGTTCTATTGCAGATGTCTCCCTGCCCTAGTCATGACATACCTCCCCAAAAATCAACACAATTCTGACTGCTATCATCTTCTAGATAGATGAAATTTATATGAGTGAAATCTTACAGAATATCTTTCTCTGTGTCTGGCTGCTTCGTCTCAATATTATGGATGGGAGATTTATCCATGTTTTTTGTTTCCTGTTCACTTGAACATACTAATTACTATTATTTAAAATTCTGTATTTAATAACTCTGATATTATGGTCTGCTTCTACTGTGTTGGTTTTCATTATATTTACTGATGTATTTACTGACACTTGTGGGAATTCTTTATTGAATATTGAATTTTCCATATTAAAAAATTGTAGAGGCCAGGATGATGTTATCTCCTTCCCAAGAAGATTTGATTTTTTTCCTCTTGGTGGGCAGATAACTTGTAAACAGACCATCTTGACCCAATGAAGTCTCTTTTAATTGTTTTATTTCCTCTTATCCATAAGGTGAGCCCCCTTATGGGTCTCAGTTGAAAAGTTGGAATGATGTCTGTTTCGCTGTCCCCTGTTTCTGGACCCTGAACTGGAATTTGTGTCTCGCCAGAACTGTGTAAGAGTGCTAAAACCACGGCTTAGCTTTGAGGACAAAGGCCTCCTTTTTATAAGACTCCTGAGCTTTCCTCAGCAGAATGGCAATGTGTGCTGATAAGAAGTTACAAAAAAGACATTCTTTGGCTCAGTGCATTTTTTATTTTTTTCATGATCTAGTCTTCTTAATTCATAGCTGCCTTGGTGATTTTATGATGCCTACAATTAGGTGCTTAATTTGTATTTTATCTCGTTTTTGTAGTTGTTCACAGTAAGAGAATCAGACTGATACTAGCTTCTTCATTATAGCTATGGGGTAAATTAGGCCATATCTATGTTTTTTGCGTTGGTGTCAGAAGATCATGCACCTTCAAATACCTAAGTTTGTGGGAGGTGGGGGATTGCATGCTTATTATCATTTCATTCTGTATCAATTTTTTAGAGGGAGCCTGAGGAGAGAGACCGAGAAAAAGAAAAAGAATGGGAAAAAAAAGAGAAACACACTCTGTTTAAACTTAACTATTAATGTATTATTCCTGGCATATATTTATGGTCACAGCTGATTGTAGAGTTAACTAGACACAGTGAGACAAAAGTCAGCCTTGAATTTTTTAATAAAAAATAATAATTGACCGAGTTCTGTGGTTCAGCCTATAATCCCAGCACTTAGAGAAGCCGAGGCAAATGGATTGCCTGAGCCCAGGCAACTTGGCGAAACCTCATCTCTACAATAAAAAAAAAAAAAAAAAACTTATCCAGGTGTGGTAGCATGTGCTTGTAGTTCCAGTTACTTGGAAAGCTAGGGTAGAAGGATGGCCAGAGTCTAGCAAGTTGACACTGGGTTGGCCATGAGTGTGCCACTGCTCTCCAGCCTGGGGGATGGGTGAGACTCCAGCTCACAATAATGATAATAATAATAGCAATAACAACAACAACAATAATAATAATAAACATGCAGCACTTATTTAGATGCTTCTATGAATCTAGAGGCAAAAATTTAAGTATTAGTCAAATTTTAGCATAAATTCTTAATGTATGGCATTATTTTTCATACTGCATTGTGTCTTGTGAGGGGAAAACAAGACCTATTATTTTGTGGGATTTTTTTTCTTGCTTTAAGGTGCCAACAGTATGGAAATGTTATGACTTCAAATAAAAATGTTGAATTTGCAGCTTTCTTCAGAATGATATGTTAGCAGAAAAAAAGGAGCATTACGTTAAGAGACATATTTCTTCATTAATATGGAAGCAAAATATAACACAATTGAAATTGTCAGAATAGTTCATAAAAACTTAAAATGGCTAATGCAACATATAGCTTATGGAATGATAAATATATAATTGACATAATATACTTGAATTGTTTATAAATACATTTTAATATAAAATATTGAGTATTTAATATGTAAATATTCAGTTCATATGAGATACACACACACACACACACACACACACACACACACATATACACACACACACACACACACTACTCTTTGTATTCATGATTTCTAACTAACTCTGCCATATAGTCAAAAGTAAAAAGAAAGAATGCATTCAACCAAACGGACACTGATAAAGCTTGCAATGAAATTACCTACTTTTTACAGGTCAAAATTTAAAAGTGGCTGGTGGGAAAGCCGAGGAAGATGGTGGCAGAGTCAGTTGGGCTATGTGAGTCCCATTGTGAGTGAGTGAGTATATGGAAAATTGTGCATATGGGTCTATGAGTAAATGGGTGTGGGTGTGGTTGACTGAGTGGAGTTTTGGGAATAAGTGGTCAGGACTCTCCTGGTGAAGCAGCTGGTGCCTCAGCTGCTCTGCCTGTACCCTAGCACTTCCCAGGGCATAGAAGCTGAAAGCCATTTTTTAAAAATCTGCAAAGCCCTTCTGGAAAGAAGCTGCTGGGAGAGACTGCTGGCTCGAGGCTCTACCTCACCACTGCAGTGCCTGGCCGGTCTCTGATGGCAAGGACTGTGGAGGGAGTACAGCAAGGGAGCTCAGAGGCAGAGCCCCACTGGAGAAAATGAGAGAGGTACCCTGCTACCATCTTGAAATCTGGGCAGAGAAATACTCTGGGTTGCTCACCATGGAGCGACAGATCCGATGTCTGTGACCAGTGGATCAACTACTCAGGGGTTGATTGTGACCCAAAGGGAATATCCCAAAAGCAAAAACTGTGGAGGAACAGGACAGGTGCCAAGTCTCAGGTGCCCTTTTCTCACCCTGATTAAGCCATGGGACAAAATGTGTGACAAGGACAAGGAAGACTCCCAAAGAGATCAGTGGAGAGTCCAGGGTTGACCTAGCCCCCTCTGCCCCAGCAACCCTCTGAACATCAGACCCACACAGCTGGGGCATGACTGAGAGGGATGAACCCAAGTGGAGCCTGGACGTCAGCCCCAGTAGAACTCTACTCCAGGATAAACCTGGCTGAAGCACCCCCCCTCGAGTACCTGGGGAAAAGACAATCCTGCACCTCCTCACTAGAGTTCATTCCCTGACAATAGAGAATAGAAGAGGAGGACTGAAGCCTTATCTACCCCCATTGCCCCCTCCTCCTTCCCTGGACCAGGCACGGGGGAGATTGTGAATGAGGCTGCAGCTCCACAGGAGACAGCAGAAGGGCTTACCTGTGAGCAGCTGAGAGGAGCAATTACAGAACTGGCCACAAGAGGGCAGGTTGTTTAAGGTTTTTTCATGTATTTATTTATTTATTTTCTTTTTCCTTTGTGCATGAACATGTATGTGAGGTTTTGATGTGTATGTGAGGTTTTGATCTGCATTCCCCCTAACTTTTTTTCTTTCTTCTTTTTCTCTTTCTTCCTTCTTTTTTTTCTGTTTATGTGTGTATATGAATGATTGAGAATTCGTCTTTTGTTTTTTTGTTGCTGTTTGTGTGTTCTTTTTTTCAGCTTAATGTGTGTGTGAATGTATGTTTGAGAGTTTGATTTGAATTGGTTCTTTTTCTCTCTCTCTTTTCTTTTTTCTTCTTCTTTCATTTAGTGTCAGGCATGTGTGCGTGTGTTC